TCCTGTGCAGTACAAATCAAACATCTTAATATGAAAACTAATAATCTTCTTCCAGAAAGAAAAAACCATCTTCTGTAACAAAACAATGCAACGTAGTTCAAAAATTGCATAAGCAAATCAAGAGCTGCTTATGGGCCAGGAAGTCATAACAATAATATAAATTCTTCAATATCTATTCATTACCTAAATCTCAAGCAAAATTCTTTGAAGATTATTTTATACATACCCGTAACGTGGTTAAAAATAGTCTGCAGTTAATGACATATCCCAATACACCAAGAATGTATATCACCACAATGCAATCAAGAAAACTCTGAGATACATCTTTAGCAACAAATATTTTCACAGTAATGACAGAGAACATCACATATCGTATCCCGAAGACCGCACTTGATCAGCCGCCGCCGTTATGGCATCAATGACAACCCTAGAAGAAGGATGTTTGTTAGTGAAACTTGCAATAGACTCAACGACATCCTGATTTGCGACTAAGTATGGTCTAGCCTCCCTCGCTTTCACCCTCAAGAACTGTTCACATATTCGGATTATACCAATAGCCAGAGGTTCCCATGTAGATGACGGGTCAACTTTCTGAAAAACTCTACATGATACAACAGTTCGAGGAAAAGTGAAACTTAAAAAGTGAAGTTTACGGAGATAAAACAAGTGAGTTTATTATTGGAAAAGTTTCCCAACCTCAAAAAAATAGAAATAGTGCTGGAGGATGGCCTTAATGGGACCTGTTCCCTCAAACACTTGCGGAGAAAACGAGAGCAACAACTCGGGTATGAAGCATAAAATTTTCTGATACTTGTTTCTCAATTCTTTAACAGACAACCATACCACCGAGGACAGGAGACCAGAAATCAAGGCGAGGTGTCTGAAAAAAAAACAAGTCCCTCACATTAGAAAAAGATACAAGAAAATATAGTGGCAACCAAAAACCTGCCCAGAAGAATGGTGAAGAAAAGTCCCGCTTTGTAAAAAACTTTTCTAAGTAGCTTCAATTAACTCTCAAAAAGAACGGTATTAGTTGCAATAGACCATTTTTAAACTAAAAACTAGAATGCCCTTTGAACACCATTCAGCAATACAAACAAGTGAAGTGAATTTTAGATAAGTAAGATTGGTACTAAACAATAATTAATGAGAAAAAACATGATATTTAAAAATTTAAATTGGCGTGTAAGCATCGAAAGATGATTAACAAAGACCTAATCAAAACATGAGGTCTGCAACTAGCAAACTGGCGTATCGCAGTAAGCTTTTCGTCAACTAGACTGGTCGCATTTTCTGAAGCGGCTAAGAATAGATCAACAAATAACGCCCGTAAAAAACCATCCAAATCTTTTATTGTTGACAAAGAATTGACTGATATTGTATCGTTCTCCACTGTTACATCTAAAGCGAAAAATTATACAACCAAAAAGTGTAAGATTACCCTGCAGTTGAAAAAGCTTTATGAGCACAATTCTTAACAACCGTGCAAACCAGTAGTAACGAGTAAAACTAAAACTGAAACCAATGCTTACCAGGATACATAGTGCGAAATTTAATTACCAGTTGTTTCACAAGACGTTTGCGTAAAGTTGGTGCCGACGATGACAAAATTTCTGAGAAAGTAGAGAACAAAACACAGACAAGATCCTCTGAAAAAATTATAAGGTCCTTTATTTCAACTGTTTGATCTGCTAAAACTGAGCATTAGGCTGATGCAAAAACTTCTTTATTTTTTTGAATTAATGCTTTGAACACTGAAGAAAAAGCTTTCCAAGCGAAATCTAAAGCGTCTCTCGATGATGGGGAAGGATCATTACTAGTGACGGAAGTTATCTTGTTAGTAGGAACGTAACTATTACTTCCAAAATCATTAAAAATCATTAAACAAAATACCTAATAAATGAGAAGCGTTTTGAACCAACTTAAAAAAATGAATCCAAAATCCGTTTACAAAACAACAGAACATTATGAAATCTAGTAACCATGATGTTTTGCAAGTTTGTCCAAGAAGGATGTCATTCTAGACATTGTAGAATAGTCCCTTTGTAGTTCGTCAAGAATGTACTCAACCAGCACTGCACAGTGACCTCTTGTGAGAGGGAATGGGCGGGCCAAATGTAAGCTGCTTATGACCGCTATCATTATCGATCTACTTGAAAGACTGAAAATCATAACTTAAAAGTAAAGTCTCTATCTTCTTATTCAAAAAAACTACTAATATTTCCTTTCCTGCCTGAAAATTTTTTTGGAAATTCTCAACTATTTCTAACAGTTTTCTGCCTGTTGACCGTCTACGTATTCACTTTTGTTACCTCCTCACTTCCTGGTTGTATTAATACTGAACTAAAATTAAAGATCTTTTTTGTTCTTTAAGACAAAGAAATGTAACTTTCTGTTGATCCTAACAAGTAAAAAACGGCAATGTGAAATGTTCGTGCAGGAAAAGAAGAAACGAAGGACGGAGGAACACACGTATTGTTGTGAGACTCCAAAAGACATGAGAGGATTTTCGAAATAGTGCTGGGGAAACACCTCACAGGCATTAATGATATAATATAGTCAAAAACTGGTAAATTTCCTGAAAAGAGAATTCCAATAATTTGATACAAAGAAGGAGAGTATGGTGACTCGTTTTCTTCTTTGCTAACAGGAACTAGTTCCGGACATCGACAAAGGAATTCATGAAGCAAACGGCTTTGGTTTTCATCCTGTAATAACCCACAATGAAAATAAGTAGGTAGAGGCAAATAATAAAATGCATTCAAAGTGGATAAGCGGATCAAACTTTATTCAAATCGAATGGTCTTACCGAAATTCCAGGCTCTGCAAGCTGTGCAAGAATAGCATCTCCACTATTGTGGGTAACTTCATCCAGTTTTTTTTTTTTAACTTTTGTTTCGGAAATGGTAGAGCTTACTAAAAATCCTTTAGTCAAAACAGTCCATTAGATGAAAAGCTAACACTCCACAAGAACAGTTAGAAAAGTTAAAACATTAAAGGCTAAAAAAATTGAATCACTGTAAACGTACCTTTACTAACATTCTTCAAAAGATTTTTTGTACCTTCAGTAATACCGGGTTTTTTACTGACTATGCTTGACAACGCAACCAGGTCTGCACGAAGAATATCGTCCTGAAAAACAGTAGGAACACACTATAACAATAATACGCTGATTCCAAGTGGGAACTAACAGTTCAAATGAAGAACAATAATTCAACTTCAGTTTTTCACATCACTGTCCACTAAAAAAACAAAGGGCTCACTTGTATTTGCAACGGCTGTATAGCTAAAAGCAAACAGGACATAACTTTTTCATTTCCTGCAAGAGCCGGTTTTCGACGGATCAGTGACACTACAGCTCTGGCAACAGAAACGTCTTCTCGGATTTTTAAGACTGCTGCCACCCACTCATCAGTGGGTGTTTCCTTACTGAGCAGAAGCTAAATTTAAAAAATTATCAATTCACTAAGAACGTAGTGAAATGCTCAAAAAAAAAGTCAAAATCGTATTCATAGCTGATTTAAATAAGTAAAGCTACAGACGACCTCATGAGGTAAAATATGAAAAGAATACCGTCTCAAAATAATTGACAACTTTTTCCGGTAACATAGACTCCCACTGCTTTCGAACATCAGCTACAACTTCCGTGAACGGGGGAGGATCAAGAAAAAATACAGAATTTTCACTAACTTCCATCTTAACAACCCCTTCAGGAGCATGATAGCCACGAATCCTTTGCAGAAACTATAACTTCACAAAAGATTAAAAGAGTTGAAAAGTCAAGTAAGACAGATTAAATCTTACAAACAAAATCCTCCAGTCAATTAACTTTTCCTGCGATTTTTGCAATGAAAAAAGTCATTCCAGCGAGTTACTGCCAAGTTGGAAAGTATACTTTATCGCCGCCCGCAAATCCTTTCTTCTTGTAGGATACAATGAATGGGATAGCTTCGGAAGCTGCATTGATCAAGTCTCCATCCAACAGCTCAGAATAATCGTCCAGGATTTTAAGAAGTTTAGTACAGCTATATTCCGTAAGACCATAGGACTTTACAAATTTTAATGCATCTTTGATGTGAACGATCTCATTCAGAGCAAACTGGAAAAAGTAAAATTTCATCCTAATAGAGAGGTTTTTGAGAATAACGAGTAATGTAAACAACTTCGCAAGATATCCAAAAAATCGTTTAATTTGAAATCAACTAACATCTGCTATACGCTTTTCAGTACAGGTTACCATTTTCAGTTTCAAATTTGCTGGAAGAAGTTCTTCACGAGTACCATTTACAATTTCTAACTGAAAAATTAATAAATGTTCCACAAATATTTGTAATTGAAAATAACTATGAACGCACTGTCAATAATTCTAGTTATTTAGTTATTTAGTCAAAACTAAAAGCACTTCCAAGTTTTAAAATCGTTTCTTTACGTATATAAATTTCTAAATATTTTCCCAAAAACTACAACTTACGTACCGTTGGTTTTTGATGCTCAACAGAAAACCATACGTCCATAAGTCTGTTCTTAATAGTCAAATCAAAATTGTTTCTTCGACTACACAATAACTGCATAATGCCACTAACAGCGCAAGAAACCAATTCAACTTTAACGGTACCCTGAGAAACCTGCTTGTTATTCTAACGAAAATCACCAAATTCAGAAGCAAACTTGATATGTTGCTCTGCCTCTAAATTAGATTCATTGGGTAAACAAAATTATATAATTTTTCAGAATAAGCAAACAAAATCACCTCTTCACTCTCCCGGAGTGTTAATATAACCCTTTTTGCGTGCTGTGGTAAAGAAGCCTCAACTTCATCAGTCCACTTAGCACCTTCTTCCTGAGCATTTTGTAAATATCTTTCATAAAAAGAGAGAGCTAAATTGCAGATATTATCTTCCTCAAACTCACCCTCGAAACGGGCAACCGCTGAAGAAAGGTGACAAGCAATCTTAAAAACATTCCAGTTCCAAACCATACATAAAATAAACACAGATCCGAAATTGAAAGTACAAGTGAGGACGAAAGTGGAACAAAGTGAGAGCTCTTCAAAAATATATAAAATTACAAGCTTACCAAGTGAGTCGAAGTCAAATCAGAATGTTCAATAAGGAACGCAAAATATTCGGAAAGCCGCTTAATATCTGTCTCAACGGAGCATAACTGAGCAATCCAACAACATAGCTGTTGCTGAAAAGGACTGCAGCTAAGAAAACCTTTTATACTTCTCACCGGTAAGTCAATAGACAAACCTTTCGGTGTTCGAATCCAAAAATTGTATGAAAATGACTTGTGAACGAAGCCTGTCCAATTACGGGTAGTACCGGTGCATTTGCGTCCGGCTGAAATGAGGATCATGTTTAACAATTAGAAGAGATTAAAACTGTAAACACAAAGTCGTCTGCACTCTAATGAACAATTTCTGTTAGCACTTTTAATAGAAACCTGCAAAAACAGTGCAAAAGCATGAGCAGCACAAGTCCGTTCAAATGCCGTAGTAGCTCCTAAACGAGAAATAAAGTACTCCAGGATGCGAGTTATTAATCCTTCTTCTGGTTCTGCTTCTTGTAATGAACTGCGTAATCGATTTCGCATCTGAATTACCATGAAATTAATAATAAAGAAATACAAGCCTTTCATCTCTTCTTTTTCATGGTAAAGATAATAAAGTCAGAAACTTACCACACATAGTTTGTCAGCGCTTAATTTTTTATCCTTGCTCATGGATGTTGAAACAGAAGATAACAGAGAATGAATAAAAAGCTCGCATATGCACTCCAAAGGCAAATATGTTATCGCATTTTCATTCGATTCAACAAGACTTAAAATCGGGCGAAGGGCTTGGACGCTACCCTAAACACTTCACTTTCACACGATGCAGTGTTGGCGTCTAACTACAAGCATAATTTTATGGTAAAAATAACGGTAAATAGCTGTAAAACGTCCACGATAGCATAGCATTAGATTACTAACAATAACTACAGTCGCAACAGTGAAAACTACAACAAAATTTTGGTTGAATAAACCGACTGCCGAATATCTGACTTTAACTGACTTGTGAACGAATAATATCAGAAAGCAGATCAGGGTCACGGCATTCGCTCAAAGACCGAGATAAGTCTAATTCATCGTTAAGCTTGGCCAATTCCCGAATAAAATCATCCGACGGCCTTCTGCCTACACCCCTTTAAAATTAATAATACGCTTTAAGAGAATAATAAATGATAAAGCTAAAGCATACCTTGGTGCTAGAGTGCACAACTTTCCCAACAACATTGATTCATTTTCATTTACTTCATGCCCAGCCAGACGAGCTTCAAGCTTTTTTACTGTTTCTCTTTCTAATAAATATTCATGTTCCTCTTCCTCTAGAAGAATTTTCGCTTGGTCGGATTCCATACTATTAGGGGGATAATGGTAGTCCCTGTAACTATTTTACTGTAACCCTAATCTACAAAATTTAAAAAAGAAAAGTCCTTTATGCAGTTGCATGAGTGTGAAAAGCTCAAGATATATAACTAACATAGAAATGAACAAAAAAATTCTTAGAAATAAATATATAGAACGAACCGAGTGAGTATCATCTGCAATATTATCTTCAAAGTGGGAAACTCGACATAACACTTCTTAATCAAATTTCCTCTATTCAGGGCAACCCACATCACTGTTATCAACCAAGCATTCCAGTAGAGCAGTTTTACAGCCAAGGAAGGGAGTTCTTCTCTAAAAGAACAATTCCTGAGTACCATGTTTTTCTTCCTCCCCCCTCCAAAAAAAAGGAACGATGATATAACCTTTATAGCTTTTATTTCACAAGCTTTTGAAAAATGCTTCCGTAACGAGAAGAATTAACGTTAAGTAGAGTGGTAACTTACGGTGGGATCTGGAATTTGAACGGCGGCCTATAAAAAGTTGTTTTGAAAAGCGTATCAATAGTTTCAATGTTTGTAACTGGAACCAAACCAACGTTACCTGTAAATTACATCACTAAAATCTCAAAAATATAAAAGAAAAAAGCCATCTCCCCTTACCACTTATTGTCGACGCAAGATATGCTCTTTTTGTAAAGTTCTGAACCAAATCTATCGCATCCGGCGCCTCAATAGGTATTAAAGGGTTACTCGCTGTTTCTAGAATGGTCAAAAGAAGCTTTTCGCTTAATGGCGCTTCAGAGAACGCACGTATATACTGCGTTGCTTCGGCTTCTGCTGGCCAACCATCTGTGCTAGAATAATAGTCGACCTGAAATAAAAGTCGAAAAAGGTTACCAAACTAACGCAAAATAAACGAAAACCTTAATAAAAAAATTTAAGAATACAAATAATCCTGGAAAATGAAAAATCAAACTTCTATTAGCAGTAATTGTAATATGCCCAAAAATTCACCGGTGCGAAATAGAAAAGCCGGTAGTAAGAGTACACAAATAAACGAGCAGGCTGCGGTTGAGGTCCCGTATCTCTACATAAATCGTGATGTTTGGCCAAAAACTCGGAACCAATTTCAAAGAATTTCAATAAGTCCGCATGAAAGCTTAAAGTGATCAAGCTTTGATAATAAAAAGCCATGACAGAAAAAATTACTATAGACCAAGAATAACTGATAATTCAGATTCTTTCTCACGTAAAATACAATAAAAATCAAAAAAAAATCATCTCAAAAGTCAAAATACTTTTTTACTGCCTCAATGTTTGACTGTGAAGAAGTTGAAGCGACACCTCGCTTAACCTGTAGTCCTTCACGGACTGCCGAAGACATTGATATAAATGGTAAAAAGGCGCATACATCTACAACCGACTTGAACATAAAATCCTACAAAGAAGAGTAATAGCCAAAATTTATCCCGTTTTGATAGCACATTAAACTAAAGGCAAGAACATGATTAAAAATGATTACGGGTATAGAATTGGCGTCAAAAGTATCTACAATTGCCAAAAATAGATGTTCGGTAAACAGCACGAAATCGAAATGAACTCGCATCAGTGACCTAGCAAATTCCCGCAAAAAAGCCCTGGTGACACGAAGGTATTCCTCTTTTGCTGCCAGAACTGAACAAATTTCTCTCGCCAAAACCTAAATCATATGATATTAAAATCCTCTAGCGAGAAACGTTAGAACAATTGATAGCCACAAAACCTTAGACGCAGCTGCAGCATCAAATGAGAATAATGTATGTATTATTGCCATATTAAACGGGAACCTATTGGACGAAAACTCGTTGGCCAGTAGTAATTTCACAATAATACTAAGAACGTCATTATCACTATTCAGCAGCTCTCTAAATAAGCCTAACTAACAGCACTTGAAAATCAAATTAGACAAAAAATAAACAATACTAAACATGAAAAAATGCACAACTATCTGCCAAAAAACATTCTTGAAACACCAACAAGCGAAACTCCACTAATTTTTGACAAAAGTTGTCACAAATACCATAATTGCAGAAGAAACTAACTTTAAGGCTACATTAAATAAAACATTTATTTGTTTGCTTTTCAAGGAGCGGAGTTTCAGGAGGTAGCTCAAAGTGTCAGCGTCATCTTCCGTAAACTTTGCACCCATATTACATGCAATCCATAACATCAATTCCATTGCATAACGTTGTAACTGAACAATGAAGAGTCAAGAAAATGTTAACTAGTAAACATAGCAAGGAAGTGCTGTTTTAAAAAACTAGTCTTCAAATCGCTAGAAATTATTCCATCTAGAACGTAGAAATTGAAAATACATTTTAGAAACAACCTAACCTTCCCGTTTTGTAACCAAGAATCAATTTTTCTACTGGCTATTAGCCTAATTTCGGGGCAACCGGAGCAAGAACACATTGTTTTTAGTAAATTCTTTGAGACGCTCTCTCCTTTACGATCGCAAATTTCTCGAATGTTTTCAATCAATGTGGTCAATTTCGAACGCTTATCGGCTGCATCGGCAAACCGATTCGCTGGAAGCTGCAAATAACTACGTAAAATATGAGACAATTGATACTAATCTGTAGACAAAGTGAATCAAATTTAGCACAAAACTTCGCCATTTTTCACCTCAAACTCTAACTAAAAAAACCCTACAGTAACAATTCTGAAAAACGAAAATCTGAGACTGAAAAACGGCAAAATCACTGCTCCATTTATGACTTTTAAGACTTATGAAGTTATAGCATACTGGAGCATGAAGAAAGCGCTCTGGATAACGTAATTCGCACGCCGCATACAAAGACTCCGCAGGCACCTGCGTTTCGAAAGCGCTTAACAGGTTTACCACTAATGCACTGGACGAAGAATGATCTACCCAACGACGCTCGTGAAGGCTGTCATCAATAAAACAGTCGATAAGAACCCAGTTCCATTGTTCAGTTTCACGTAAAATAGCGTACAAGACTGCAAGCAAGACAACTTAGAAGTAGGCCACCATAGAAGGGAGCTTTTCCAGCACGGATAAAAATTCTCAAATTGATAACGATTCCTTCGGAAAGCTAGCGAAAGCTTCAAAACACTTTGTATTAACAAAATTTAACCAGAAGAGGCGAAAGCAAAAGCAGGTGAAGATGTCGTAAATCCAGCAGTTAGCACAGAGCAGAGAGCATCAACAAATTCCGCCTGCTGAAAGCTTTTGCAAACTCATTATCACAGCACATCAAACAACAGCTCAAAAAGCCCATCTAAGTAAAGAATTAAAAAGCAACTACATTGTAAAACTTATATGCCTCAAGCCATCAAAACTCTCACCATTAGAAAAGAACCATGACGTTTTACAAAAACATATAGCCCGGATATTAAAAGCGGGTCCATTACTGCGGCACCACTTTCGCCGCGATTGTCTATAAGTTCACGAACAACAGCGCAAACCATTCGAGCAGCTTTATGAGGCTTCTGTTTTTCAAAAGTTGATTCTAAAGACGAAAGCAGGTTTTTTGCATCAACTTTCACCTAAATTATTACCCAGTAATCCAAGCGAAGATAACAACTGTAATTTTGCAATAAACAATAATTCACCTCAGCACAAAACCTTCTCCAGTTGGCATCGCTATGAGTGTACCTTTTTGACGCCGAGGAGGTTGGCTGCACAGCAGACCCGAAATTGACGCGGGCTCTTTTCAGTATTCCACCGGATCCCTAAAACTGATGTCTAGTTAAATAAACAAGTGGTGAGTTGATGAGTAAGCAAAATTTTCTTAAAGAATTGTCGGAGAACAAACCTGCAACTCTTTCTTGGATGTAGTTTGTGACTTTAGCCGTGAAGACGACAAGTCAGAAGTACTGTCACGACCAAGGGCTACGAAACCTCCAGCAGGTAGATTGGCCTTCCCCTTGACTCCGTGTTTGCTCATATTATTTTAACTTAAAATTTCTGAAAAAAAATAAAAAAAAAGAGGCGTTATATTCGGTACGTGAGATACTTCAAAAGGTTTCTTTCAGCATTGAACAATTACCTTTCAGTTCCGTTTAAGGATTAAAAACAGAAGACAGTATTCACTTTTCAATGCCGAACATTTCCACATGGTCCATGCCAAAAACTGTTCAAACCAGCTAACGCCTAATCTGTTGGATCGCGTTAAAATTTATCCCACAAAATTTGAGTTTTCTAAAAACGTTTGTCTTCCATAAGCCTTCCTCAATTAAATAAATGAACTTTGGAGAGTCGTTCTAACACCATTATATTTGAAAAATACTTTTCCAGGGAAAGAATATAACCGTCCAATTGCGTTCTTCACCTGTATGAGTTTAATTTCATTCCCAGTCATTGATGTTCTCATGTAACTTACAAACAGTTCTTTTTTTCAAGCTTTGATACTACAAGTACGAGGAAATTACTAAACATATAATAATATTTTGTTTTCAAATGTACCAAAAAATTTTGAAAAAAAAAAAAAAAAAAGCAAAATAAGAAATATTTCATAGTTTTGCAGTAATGATACATTTCATTCAGCTCTTTTTCTAACGTTGAGAGATCAGCACCAGTTTACAGCAACGACCCAATAAAACTTGATATTAAATATGTGAGAAAAGATGTAGAAACAGAAACGAAGAAATATGGAAAAAAATGCAAATCCATCATATTCTACCAATTCAATTTTGCCAGCGGATTGTTGCCAAATTTCTGTGCAATTAAAAAGTGCATCAAGGCTTCCAATTTTTATGTTGCAAATGCAGCTATATAACATCACTACATCAAAAATATATATAAATTGTCATTTTTTGTAGGGAAAAAGCATCGCAAAAGCAAGAAGGCAAAAAGTAACTCAAATCATCGGTAAGTTGGCAATGATGACATCATATTAAAGAATTTCTATTAACGTGGAATCATTAAATGAGCCACGCGTTTATAACGCGTCGCGGATACATTTAACCAATAACCGTAATTAACTTTTTCCACAAATCTGACACGCGTGTATAGCATCGTTTAAATTGGTGTATCAGTGTTATTTTGTGCCATCCATATTGGAGGTTACCTTCAAAGGCTCTTTACTACTATATAAAGATCTTGAACTGATTCCGGTAATTGTATCAGTGTGAAATGAGACAAAAGACTTTACAGAATTAGTTACAGCCATATGTACAGTCGGTTCTAAACGACCAAAGAAGGAGGTACAGCCATGGATCTGTTACAGAAAACCACCACCAATTAAGAATCTTGAAATGGAAACATAGATTTTTATCACTGCGAGTCAGAAATTATATTCATCCTATGGAGAAAAACAGTCGTTATAAACAGTATAGTACGCTGTAATCCATTTTCTAGTTGCTGTCGATTAAGCTCCATTTATCCATACTATAAGACACGATGAGGATCATGTTTAGGCAAGAACACTTGGTAATACAATTGGAATTAATTTGTTATATGCATCTATGTTCATCTCCCAGACTTTAAAATAGAACTATGGTAAATATGCTACGTTGAAAAGACCTTTATTTACTGTAAGTTACAGAAACAGTAATTGTTGGAAAAAGCGGTAATTATTTTGCTATAAGAAAGCTCGGTTTTTTCTGAAGACAAAAGAATTAAATTTTTTTTTGGAGCTATATTACAGATTACGGAGATGTTTCAACCCCCAAAAAGAGTGATTTGACCTAAGTGAATAGCGATATACGGAAAACATCAGGCTGCCTGCGAATTGTTATTTGAAATTAATTTTAGAAGAAGGCAGCAAGCGAATTTTAATCACAAACTTTACTCCATTATTTTAGTAAAGATTAAAAAACTCAGAGCAATAGGAAAAAACTTAAACTATAGTATATTTAAATTTTTTAACTGAAGTCTGACTGTCTTGATTGAGGAGTTCTTCAGTAGTTACTAGCAGAAATTACAAAGACAATTGAAAGATCACAAAAACAAATTTGGTATAAATAGTTTTAGCGGCAGTGATTCTGCTGCAGTGACCAGAATACGTTCGGTTATCGGTGAGGTTGTAAGTCGGATCAAATTTCAATTCAGTTTTTATTTTTTGTTCCTTCTGATTTAACTAAAAGAGTGCTGATGAACGTTTGGACCAGTCTGCTGCAGAAAAGATGAGTAAAGAGTTTAAACTACATTTGAGACATTTAAAAATGTAGTAGCTTGGTTTAAAGACAAAAAATTAATGTTTCAAGCTTTTCTCATTTGCTTGCCTAAATCTGCGCGATAAAACACGTTCTGAAAGAAAAAATTTGTTGGGGTGACCGACTGTTGCTAACGTAATATATAAATCTTGGCTGGAGACCGTGGCTATGGACCAAATTGGAAATGTAGTTGCAATAACCATTTGTCTGCATAAAAGCTAACAAAGAAGAGTAGACTGAAGAACTGCAGATGAAGTTGGAAGTAAATCTGTTTTGAGCTTTACTTATTGTTTTTAAAAAGCTAATTTGGAACACTCAATCTTCTCTAAGTAAGGTTTTTTTACCTCTAATTCGCTAACTTGGAACAATTAAAGGATATTCAGCTTAACTCTGTTTTGAAGTAATTTTGACTTTCATTTTTTTTTTGTTCTTAAATAATCATCATCATTCTTCCCAAATCGAAAAGGATGACCACCAGTCGCTTAAAAGACTTCTTTAAAAAACTTTCTGGCAACATGTATTCATTTACCCAGAATGCACTTATGACTAGTTTATCAATAGTTCTATTCTTTTTTATCTGCTTTTTTTTGAAAGAAACATTTAATTCTAGGAGGACGAAAAGATGTAACGAATGAAAGTGGCACAGCGGATTTATTTTCTTTGCAGTGAAAATTTCTTTTTCAGGAAGCTGTAGTTGGAACTGTGTATAAACAAGTTTCTGTTTATTTTATGTAGCACCGCAACTTTTCGCTATCAGCAAAAGCTGTTTTCAGTCTCATTGTGATTTCTGCTTCAAAAGCTAAGTAGTTCTTTAACAAACTGATTTACATCAAACCTTCATATCTCGCTGTTTACACAGTCACCCCACCAATATCAAACTTCTTCTGCTGCTAATAAAACGACATTTAAGCGAAAGTGCATTAGTTGTTAGTGAATTGTCCACTGCTTTGATGAAAGTTATAGAAATTTGCATTTTTTTTTTCATAGAGAATGACTTTAAATCAATCTTTGGTGATAGTTATGTTACCAGAAACCACTCTTAAGTTTACCGTTGTCATTTCAACTAATCTGATACGCTGAAAGTACTCACTGATAACTACTAACTTGTGAAATACAGTGAAGTTTGTTGGTTTTGTACTGAATATTTTGGCATTTCTCTTTTCATAGTTTTACAGTTTTTAGTTTTTTAATTTTATTTTTTAAAAACTTTTTGTTTTTATTTTTAAAGAAGCAGCTAAGTAAAGCACTAATTTGTTGGCTACTTTCTTCTTAACTCCATAACAGTCGAACAACAGAATATACAATCATAAACATCCGTAAAGCGCTGTTATAAGTTCATTCTTTCAGGTTGAAGTAAATCGCACGAAATATGATCTGATTTCTACAGTTGCTAGCATTATTTAAGACTAGGATTGGGTAGAAAAAAAGGAATTTTTTACAGCTAGCGATATTTACTGGGGGGTAACAGTATTAAAAAAAAAAACGCTTATACTTTTGCAAAAGGTTTTTTTACAATCCAATGTCATTTATAAACTCTTAATCCACTTTAATTAACAGTAAATTTAAGCAGCTAATGGGTGAAAAAATTTGTCAAATGAGATGGATGGGGATACTCCAGCCAGTTGGCGACAAATGAATATTGACGGCACTGCAAAAAAAGCAGTAAACCCTCGTTGCCTAAGCAATAGCAGGGGCAGTCAGAGGAAATTTTCGGTTAACTGTTGTCCATAGCAACCCTTTGTAACCCCTTGGGTACCTGAAGTTTTTTCCTACTTGTTCCAGCAAAATATCAGCGGAAATGTTTATGTTCTTGATCAGAAAGGTTTGTCTTCCCAGTTTTACCTTATCCAACTACTATCGGATTACACCAGTTACGATGCTAAACACAAGTCGTTATGAACAGCTTTGAGATCAATAAAGGACCATTTTTCAAGTTTTTTATTAGCATGTTAATATGATTTTGTCAAAGAAAAATTCTATTTAAATTTATTCTGTAAGTTTTAATCGTTTTAATTGATAATATTTGTAAAGTTAATAATTTTTTGTTGTCAAAACTATTTTTGAAGTTTACGAGTGTAGCAGAAAAGAAGTTGTTCAAAAATCGCTAGTAGTTGTTTTGAGTAGCACAATTGCTTCTACAGCACAGCACTAACATTTAAAATAATTCACATATTAAAGCTCATAGATTATGTCTTTCAAAAATAATACGTTTATACAAAATGTTAATTAATCAAAAACACCATTTTTTACGCTTTTCTTCCAGAAACTATGTTGAGATTGATACTAGAATAATCTAAATTCTGTGAAGTTTAGCCATTCCAACTTGATGAGACATGATTAAACCCATATAAAAAAAATCTCACCTTTTTCTATCTTATCAATGTTTACAAATTTTATCAAATTTTCTTTTTTTTTTTT